GAGAGCGAGGAGGAGGAGGACGAGGTGGTGGAGATCGGGGTCCTCTCTTTACCTGAGAGGATCAATGGCAGGGTGGAAATAAAGGAGCCTGCTTTTCAGGCCCTCTGTGCGGGCGGTGGGGATGCAGCAGAGGGAGGTGGCCTTAGTGCTGGCGGTGACCTGCTGTCCCCCAGCGATGCAGGGCCGCAAGAAGCCCTGGTGGCCTCTGGAGAAGGGCCTTGTGGCAGCCCAAGTGGCACGAGTGGTGTTGAGGGACCCTCTTTGTGCCCACTGCCAACCTCTGACTCCCCAGAGGAGCCTAATAGTTCCTCAGGAAGCGAAGCAAGCCCAGAAATATCCCCCCCTCCTAAGAAGCCAAAATATAGCCAGAAGGAAAGGGCGGCCATCTCCCAGGCTGCGTGGCAGAGGAGGAAGGAGCAACAAGCACGGAGGAGGCAGCAGGAGCAGGAAAAAGAGAAGAAAAGGGCCCTGGCCAAGATGCTGAAAGCTCGGCGACCAGGGGAGTGCCAGAAATACATGAGAGTGGTGTTAGATCCAGGTACCTGTCCTCACAGCCTGTATCTGGCTTATATTGACTGTCAGTTCTTTCTGTGGAGGCCTGACCCATGCACCGATTTCAGTTCTTTTACAGACAGAAGGTGGTGAACAGATCCTTAGTGCTTTGCAGGCTGCAAATTATTCCTGTGTTGTTGAGAATCAAGCTGTTCCCTGCAGCATCACCTGGCAGAGAAAGACTGTGCTTAGTGCTTTGCAGGCTGCAAATTATTCCTCTGTTGTTGAGAATCAAGCTGTTCCCCGCAGCATCACCTGGCAGAGAAAGACTGTGCCATCTCAGGTGTGTGAGCAAAATCTCCAAGTTCTTGCCCTTTTCTTCCTCTGTTATTTGCACTAATTAGTAATTGTATTTAGCAACCCAAGTAAACACCCTCTAATCTTCTCCCTGCCTCAGAGGTCTGAGTGGGAGCCCTGGTTTGAGTGAATTGTTTGTTTTTGCGTCTGGACAGATAGAAGATGAAGACGAATGGACAGAAGAACCAAATGTCCTGGTTCTGCTTCGCTTGGAGGAGTTTTTGTCCATGGTTTACAACTACAAACAAGTGAGAGTCCTTATGACTTTTGTGCCTTCTAACGTGCCTTTCTGTAAGGGTGGTGTTTGTCATCGTTCTTCATGGCAGGAAGGTTTTGATGTGGGATGGAGCCATGGTTCTGGTAAACCAGAAATCTGGTTTTAGAAGCTATTAGTGGATCAAAAACATTAGGGTTGTAGAATGCAAAGTTCTGACAAGCTTTCTTTCCTAGTTACAATTTTTTACACACTTTTGAAGAGGTACCATTGTCAGATCAAGTGGGATTATTTTAAAATAAAAATGATTTTGTATTTCTTTCAGCCATAACTTTATACCGGTTCAAGTATTGCCAGCTTGCCCCTGAACTGCTACATGAGCAGACTGTTTCATCTGCAGATCCAGCTGCAGAGATGGAGCCATAGGTTGCTGGGCATGTGTCACTCAGAATGGTTTAACTCCTTTTTTCCATTGATCATTGCAGGAGGTCGAGGGCTGTACAGAAGGACCGAAGGAGACCCTCCAGAGCTACGTAGCTCATGTGATGGACAAAATGCCTGGGAAAATTCTGGCACTGGCAGTAGCTGGAGTAGAAAATTATTTCAGGTTGAACTTTTTTCCCTCCAAATGTTTCTCTGTTGTCGCTGGCCTTGAAAAATACCATAGGTGTTTACATTAAGAAACAAAAGCAAAGGTCCATCCCACCTGCCAACACAGCGACCGATGGCAAATACCTGGGGAAGAGCCTGAACCCCCAGTCTTACTTTACTTCTCTTGCATCTCTCAGGACTCAGTCACAAAAGAGATGTCAACAGGCAGCCGTGAGTGGAAAACAAGAGGGAAAACAGAGAAAAAGGAAAATTAAGGATTCTGGCCTGGAGATAACGAGGCTGGACGTGGAAGAAGTGAGTACCTTTAAAACAGGCGCGCAGCCAATGTTGTCTGCCATTACTTGAACACTAGATCACACACTTTCTCGGATGAGGGGATTCAGCCCTTTGTGGCCTGCTGCCAGAGCACAGCAGTGCTGCCCTGGGCGAGGTGGCCTGCCTGTAATGAGAGCCTGCCACTGGGGAGCTGCAGCAGCTGAAATGGTGCGAAACTGGTATTAACTGGTCGGAGACAGGCTGCCCTCTAAATACATCAGTGCTTTAAATTCACCCAAAATGGGGAGAGAGTGGATGTTCTTGTCTTATAGCAAGATGTTACGACCCTTTTTTGTTTCAGACAAGACTGGGGTTTGATGCAAGAAGATTATTTGTTGTTTCCAATGATATTTACAGGCCTTGGTGGATCTGCAGTTGTCCAAAGAAGTCCAAGTCAGCTTTTTTGAGAGCTGGGAGGAACTTGGAGAGTTTGCCACTATGTTTGCAAAAGCTGTAGCTGAAGCACCATTCAAGTGAGTAAGCAGATGAGGTTTGGTCATATCTTTGGACAGTTACTGGGAGGGAATAGCAGGTACGTGGCTGTACTGAGTACACCGCTCTGTAATGATTTTTAAAGCAGCAGGTGACACAAGGCCACAGCTAATGCAGCTCCTTTAGCACAGAGTTAGTTCTCAGAAACTGACGTCCTGCCTGGGGAGGGGTGACGACAGACCCTGGTTTCACGCTAGAGTCTCACTTGACATCAAGCAAAGGTCTTGTTCTCCGTCTGATTTTAGGAGTGGGAAGGGAATGGAAGTAGGACTGGGCTCATACAGCGCCAGCTTTTCTTCTTCAGTGCGTAACCAAGAGAGACGTGACTGAGAATGAGCCATTTCGCTGTTTCCGTTGATGAGGAAGGACAGCAGCATGTTACACAGTGATAGCTAAGAAAGCCATCTTGTGCAGTCTCACACAATCTGAGCATTGCTATCACAGCAGCTGCTGTATTTTACATGTCAGCCATGAGAAGAGATGAGATGTCATTAAAAATTACATGTAAAAGTGTTTAATTATGGTTGACAGTCAGAAGGTGAATTCTCATTTATTGCTTTGTATGTGTGTTGCTTGTGTCAGGATTTCTCCCAAGTACTGGTTTGTTTCTTTTTCAGTAGGAAATCTGGGTCTTAAACAAGGAAATTGGTAATGCATGTAAAGAAAATAGGGTCAAATATTTAGCATTGACTTTGACGCCAGTGGTGTCTGCAACAACGCGGAGTAAGAAGCAGCCTTCTGTCTTCTTTCTCTGGCTATGAGGTAACAGATGCAGCAATAGGCTTTTGTTCACAGCCTCACTGTCTCCTTTGCTTTTGCATTCTTTGTTCTCCCTAGGCGAGAGCGAGAGAACACAGGGTTCTCTTTCTACTTAGAGAAGGAGTGTTACGGAGGGGTGAAGGTGTGTCATACTGGAAAGGGTCTCCGGGAAGTTTGGAAGAGGCAGATGCAACAATTCAACCGGGTCAGCCCCGAGATGGCTGAGGCTATTGTGTCTGCATACCCTTCTCCTCAGCTTCTGATTCAGGTGAGGATGCCCCAGGGATACCGAGTACTGTGTGCAGACAGCCAGCTAATGTAAGGAGGGGAAGAAATCATTCAATTGGTATTAAATTTGACACAAGATCCTGTCTGAGCTGTTTAGTAAGACTGTGAAGGAACCGATTCCTTGGCGCCCATTGCTCTGCCTTTACAGAGCAGGCTGCTCAGGGAGCAGTATTGACTCTGCATCAGCCTCTAAGCTCACAGATGAGATCTGGGAGAGACCAGGTGAAAAATGAGTGTACATTGTGCAAGGGTAGAGCAGTCACCGGCGCAGAGCTTTGATTATTTTTTTGAGCAACGTCTGCAAATGGATGATATCGTCGTTCCTTTGTGTTGCCTTTAGGCCTATAACAGATGCTCCTCAGACCAGGAGCGGGAAAACATGCTGGCTGATATTCCTGTGCACCGCGGCGACGGCGTGACAGCCACCACCCGGCGGATTGGACCAGAACTCTCCCGACGCGTGCACCTACAGATGACTTCCCAGGATCCTGATCTCTATTTGGATTTCACTGGGTAGCCCCAGGGAATGCGGATTTTACTCTTTGCTTGGTTTAAGTATCCAGCTTCCTCCTGGGAATAAGTGCTTAGATAAGATTGTCATTGATCCTCCAATAAAGACTTAAAAAAACACATTTAGACTTGACTTTAGTAGAAGAAGGTTGTAATACAATTGCTGAATGGCAGTTTACACAAGAAAGATGGTGAACATCGTCCATAAGAACAGGAGTTAGACATGGCTTATAGAACTGACAGCTCCTTTTATTTGTTTTTCTAGAAAATAAATTATTTTGAATAATAATAGTGATCTGTGCTTCTTAACATACCGTCTTGAATATGGACAGGTATGTCATCTGTTGAGAGGAATACTTTTTACTGCTATTCTAAACTACAAGTAGTTATCTTTGCTCTCCAGCATGAAAAATCCCAATGGTAGAAGCAACATGATGCTGGCCAGCCCCCCAGCACCTGCTCTAGTGAGGTGGAAGAACTTTATTACACAAAATAGTCTCAGTTTTTCAGCTGTGGCAGATGGGAATGAGTAAGACTAATTTTCAGATATAAATTTAGACTGTCCTGTTTCAGTGTCCAGACGGCTTAATCTATAGCGGGTCTTGAAATCTGATTATATGTGCTGGAATTATGAGGTCTAAACAGTTGGCAGAAAAACCTTGCTTTTAATTAGATTGGGGAACGCACTCTCCTGTCCACAAAGCCATCAGCACTTGTGTGCACACAAGGACGGTTGAGATCTTTTGCTATATCAGCACTTACTGAGATGAGTGCTGAGAGGGAATTAAACTCCACCCAGCGTGTGGAAATTGCCCTTTAGAAGCATGCTGCCTTGAACGAAAAAATAGCCTCCCCTGAGCTAGCTTCGGGCAATCGGCATTGGCCCGTGCCTGGCCGGTAGCACGCTTCTGACCTGAACCGGTAAATCTGATTAGCTGGGCAGCTGCCAACCTAAGCAGCACTCTCCTAGATAGCAAAGCAACGGATTGCAGAGAGGAAATGTCGCTTGGAATGTTGTTTGTCATGTTTCTGAACATTTCTGGATAGTAAGCACGGACCTTTTAAAGAATGTGATGAGTTAGATAAAAAAGCAAAGCCTAAAGCTGTTTCAAGGAAGCTTAGAAAACACATACCCTGCTTAGCCAGAGAGAGGCAGCCTTCCCTTCCCTCTGTCTTGTGTTCACGCTGTGGCTTTTCTCTGTGTGGAGATCATCTCCTCGCGGCACTGCTCGTACCAGCAATAATCCCGGGTATTAGGAGAGAGGGAGCGATTCTGGAGACTAATGTCGGCATGTCTCAGTGGAGTCTGTAGCACGGATATTCTCTGAAACCGGCACTGGCAGCATTATGTCTACACTTTTAGTACCCACAAAGCGCTTCAGGATATGACAAACTTCTGCTTGGTTTCCTCTGTAAGGAAATTATAAATCATGGGCCTTTGCACAGGTGAGTTTTCTTCTCCAGGTGCCAACCCCAAACCTCCCAACCTTCCCAACAGCCCCCAGGCGCGGCCCTTCTCTGCCGCCTGCCTCAGCACGTTGTCATGCTGCCACAGCGTGTCACGCTGCCACAGTGCCACCCAGTGCTCTGCGCCTCTGCTGCAGCGGGAAACAGGCGGTCAACTCGCCCGCTGCCTGGCCGAGGGTCCCGGACCCCCCCTCTTGTTGCAGACACAAAGCCAGCCTGCAGAATGGCCAGAGGCCCTTCCTAGGCTGCAGCCGCTTTGTTGGCACTGGTTAAAATAAATGTGGCTGGAAATTATTTCTGTATGTACTCAGAAATCATTATTAGCTGTTTCTAAAAGACCTAATTAAAATGAAAACTGCATTAACAACATAAACATCCAGTTCAGACAAATTGCTGCGAAAACTGTTGTATTGAAAATTTTCAGCTCCTTCCAATAGCACATCAGCTTCTTCGCTCCAACGTACGGATGCACAGCCATCCTACACACTTGTCATTGGTCCTGGAGTAGGCCTTAACATCATTCCCATTAAGACATATCACCAATTTTAGCACAAATAGAAAGGAGAGCAAGGAATGGATATGTATTAAAAACCTTCTACCTCCAGGAGAGAGCTGTAGCTACCTAGATAACGCAAGGGCTGGCTTTTCCCACTCCTACAGCTTTCTGTATCTCACAATCTAGGTAAGCATCCCTTGGAGGTAAGAAGTGTTAACGAGTTGAGGTTAACATGGGCAAACAACAGGAGTTACAGGCCAGCCGCGAAACATGCACAGCGAAGATGATCTGAACAACAACCCTGCTCTGTGTGCAGTGCACCAGCAAACCGACGCTGACTGGTTCGAAGCAGTTCCATCAGAACACAATTCCATAGGAATTCTGGCTGCGTAGACGGTGGAGGGAGAGGCTGACGAAGCAAGTGCCCGTCCAGGACAATCACTGCTGCGAGTTCTGTTGTAGCAGATTTTGCAGGGTTTTGTGGTTTTGCAGAGCGGCTAACACGTCCTCGTAGAGAGTGTTCACGCTGACGCACAGAGGTTGACGTTGCAGCTCTGTCAGCTTGCAGGCGGCCAAAGTACAGAGGACGCCCAGCAGCACGACCAGCAGGACCCTCAGCACCGACCGCGACCAGGAGTGCTTCTGCCGGGGCGGCTGAGGGGGACGAGAACTGGAGGTGGGCTCTGCAACGAGAACATTTACAAGACAGAGAACGTGAGGAATTAATCAAATACCTTTAACAGTCGATATTCAGAAACAAGGTGTTCAGGTAAGATAGTTTAGCCTGTGCTGCAGTTGTCTTTTGTCACGAATTTTCATCTCTTAACTCTGGTTAATAAATAGATGGGCAGGATGTACCTGTTTAGGATGAAAAGTTTCAGATTTAGTTTCATGATTTAGTTTTGGATTTAGTTTTCAGGGAACCGGGTGTAAACCACCTCTGTGTTGCACAAGATCTGGTTTTGCACATATAGTTCAGTACTTTTAAAAAGAAATGAGTGAAGCTCTCCCCAGGAACAGCTGAAGAACCTTCTGAATCTCGTAGCTCAGCAGTTCCTCAGGAACACAGGTGAAGGGAAAAGGGCACACACAGCAGTAGAACTTACTAGAAATCCTACAAGTTCCCCTCTCTCCACTCCCACCATCTCCCAGTACCTCGACTGCATAAAGGCACATCTGGCAGCATCAAAACATCCTACCCAAAACAGATACTACGTACTTCGGGTCTGAACGTTTTCTTTTTTAGTTTTCTTTTCCACCTCCTGTTTGGCAGCTTTCTGAGCATCATACTCTCGTCTTCTGCGCTCCTTTTCTTCCGCCTTCTCCCGCTTCCTCAGCTCCCTCTCTTGAGCCTCCTTGGCTCGCTGTTCTGCTTCACGCTTCTTCTCCATTTCTGGGGATTAATAGGAAGTTTTTTCCTTTTATGTAAAGGGTTGTCATTGCCTTCTTCTTGCTACCTGCTTATCTGTTCCCGATTGGAATGAGGAAACCAAACAAATAGCTATCTACTTTTTTTATCTTTGTTGGAGTTTTTTAAAATATTACATACTTTGCATTTTGCTCCCTCAGAATTAGGCTTCCCTTAAAATAAATCCTGTGCTCTTATTTCACATTTTTATAGGGAACCTATAGCAAATTCCATCCAGAGATCTATTACTCAGGCAAGAAATCGCAGTTTTCCCTGGCAATCTTTCTCCCTCCAGCCCTTCCACCCTACTACTCCCAGAGTCCTCAGGATTTCGATAGTTACAAGTGTTTGTTCACTGGCAATCTGTGTTTGGGCACGCAAGAGAGAGGAAGAACAGTCCCCAGCAGACAGCACAAGGGCTCTCTGTGCTTACCTCGCTCTGCTTGGAGCTTCCGCTGCCGCTGTCGATCCTGCTCGGACTGGATGGCTTTCATGTGCTGCAGTACCTTCGAGGTCCAAGAAAACAACCTGAGGTCTCTGCAGAAGGCTCGTTAACCCCAACTTACCCCTACAGGTATGGCTCTGAAGAGAGCTCACACCTTCCCACGTGAGTCTTCGCAGTTAAGAAACAGATCTTTCCGTTAAAAACCAAACCTGCCACGCTGGTGCCACGATGCAGAGGATCACAGAACACTGCTGTTTACCTGAGCCCACAGTTTGCCAGAACTTCTCCAGAGGTTTTTGTACTCGGGACTATAAGCGTACACAAAGATTATTTTGTCTGATTGTGCCTCCGCTCTCTTGGCAGCCAGCCTTTAGTCCTCTCTGAACTCCACCAGTGGAAGAGAATCCCACCCAGCCCAGGGCTTGCTCTCTACACGCACAGCAACAGTGAGGTCAGGTTCTCATGGGCTGGAGAAATTTCAAAGTGCCGCAGCAGCTGCCCAGCTTGCTGAGCAAAAAGAGGAAGAACCACCACCCATAAAGCAAAGTAAGGGAAAAAAAAGAATAAAAGCAGATTCCTTACCTTGACAGCAGCTTGTTTACACTGCTTCTCATCCAGACAGTCTCCTGCTACTTTAGCTAGGACAGGATCCAGGGGATTGTCCTTCAGATCCAGCCACTTCAGGTTCTGCAGAGAGGAACGACAAAGGGCAGGCTGTAAGAGCACAGCAGCCTGCCGTTATTTAAGAGATCCAACACAGGAGCAGAGAACTACTTAGTTTCCACATGAAGGAAACAGGTACGGGAGACAAGCAGAGAGCTTGAGCAGAGGCATTTCCAATAGATGTGAGAGAATTTCCACTGAGCTGCGGTGCAGAGCCAGCTGAATTTTGGAATGGGTAGTCAGCAGGATGGATGCTTTACCAGAGAAATCAACTTGAGAAGGATCACAAGACCCTGGGCAGCATCCCAAAGCTTTACGTAACTGCCCAGCAATCAGTTTTACCTTGAGCTGTGCAAAGCTGACTGGCAGGGTGACTAAACGGTTGTTCAGAAGGTCCAGGTGCTGCAGATTGACCAGGCGGCCAAAGTCCAAGGGCAGCTGTTGAAGCCGATTTTTACTCAAATCCAGTTTCACCAGATGCATCAAACTGCAGAAGTCTGACTAAAACCCAAAACCAAACAAAACACAGAAAAAGCCCGTCAGCACCTTTAGGAAGGAACCTCAGCGGGGAGTACGTGGAGACAGCCTGCACGTTACGTAAGCCACACATCTTTAACTTACTACAGAACTGGGATGGAGGAGCATTCGCCCTCCTCCTTTGCCTGGGAAGATGGAGGTGGAGAACAGTGGGACAGACAAGACAGACAGACAGACTGACAAGGTGATGTATGGCAAGACAACAGAAACAGACTCAAGTCTCTACACTGATGAAACTGGTCTGTATTCACATGGGGATCCTCTGGCAGGGAGCTGCTGCAATCCTCACGCTGTGCAAACCTCCTCCTGAGAACTCTCCTGCCTCAGCCAAAACCACCCACCAGCACCAACCCGTCCCTGACAGCAGAGCTATTCGCCTCCCCCAGGAAACATGCCACGTCCAAACCTCCCGGGGAACCCTTCCTGAAGCGCTACTTATCTTTTTCTAAATATTTCCCAGCAGACCCATCCTAGCACCTTACCGGCAAGGAAATGAGGTTGTTACAGGACAGATCCAACACCGTGGCTTTGGGAAGAGCAGCCTGAAAGAGAAGCAAAGCCC